GGAGCCCCTCAGACATGGCTCCTCTAGTCACTAGCAGATTCCGACAGTGGTTGCTTTCGTAATCGCTTCCAACATAAAAGCTCCTTAACGGAAACACGTCTTCTGGACTCTCTGCGTGACAGTTTCCGGCGAGGAGTGGGTGTTCTTACAGGAGGTCCTGAAACCTCCCCACTGTTTTCGCTGGAAGTGTCTCTGAGCCATCCCTCCAGCTCACTTTCCCTCCGCTCAGCTCCTCTTCCCTGCTGGTTCCCTCTTCAGCTGCTGAGTCTCTCCCAACCTGTGTGAGCCCTTTCACCTCCCTGCTGGTTCCCTCTTCAGCTGCTGAGTCTCTCCCAACCTGTGTGAGCCCTTTCACCTCCCTTCCGTCCGATGGCAGTTCCCTGACATCCACCTCCCCTCAGGGCCCCCTTCACCCCCTCTCGCCCCCTCCTCTACGGGCGGTGAGGAGGCAAAACCCGGAATGAACTTCCTTCATCTTCCGATGTCTCGAACACTTCTCTCCACCTGTTGCGGTTCCTGGTCTCGAAGTACACCTCCTCCTCAGAGTCCATCTCCCCTTCCCCTTCCGAGTCCGGGAATCCTTCCAACTCCTCCCCTCATCAGTGGTCCCAAAGTATTCCCTCCGGAACCTCTCCACAGGCTGAGGTTTCCTTGGGAACCTTTGATGGAACGTTTCTATCAATACCTCGTCATTGATATCTTCGGCCATTACCCAAGTGTTTTCTGACTCCGGTTCTCCTTCCCACGCTACCAAATACTCCACCTGATCCCCCTTCCACCTGGCGTCGAGGATTTCTGCCACATGGCTGCTGCATTCTCTTTCTTCTATGACCGGTCCCCGAGTGGCCATCCCTTCTCGTCCCCCTTCGTACGGTGACAGTAACGACCTGTGAAATACTGGGTGCAGTTTCATGTGGTTGGGTAACCGGAGCCTGAAAGCCACTGGGTTGACCTGTTGAATGACCTCAAAGGGACCCAACCTCCTGGGTCTTAATTTCTTACAACCTCCTTTGAACGGCAGCCCTTGGGTTGACAGCCACACCCTATCTCCCACCCTTATGGTTTCACCTTCCCTTCGGTTCTTGTCTGCCTGCCTCTTGTATTCTTCCTTCGCCCTTTCTAAGTTGAGTTGGAGCTGACGATGGATTGCTTCCATTTCTTCCACAAAATGCTCGGCTGCCGGGACGCTCCATCTCTCCCCATCTCCCCTGGGAAAGCCCTGGGATGACACCCATAATTAGCCAAGAAGGGGCTCATCCCTGTGGACACATTCTCGGCATTGTTGTAGGCAAATTCCGCCAGCGCCAACTTTTCTACCCAGTCATTCTCTCTGTCATTGACATAACACCTCAGGTATTGCTGGAGGACACCGTTTGCTCTTTCCGCCTGCCCGTTGGTTTCAGGGTGCCGGGCAGTCGAAAAATTGACCTCCACCTGCAGTAAGCTCATGAGCTTCCTCCAGAACCTGGAAGTAAATTGTTTTCCTCGGTCTGAGACCACCCTCAATGGCACCCCGTGCAACCTAAAAATGTGTTCTACAAATAACTTCGCTGTCTCTTCCGCCGTGACTGCATGCGAGCAAGCTACAAAGTGGCACATCTTTGTTAGTAGGTCTACCACCACCATGATGGCTGTTTTCCCTTTGGACTTCGGCAGATCAGTCATAAAATCTATCGACACTGCCTCCCAAGGTCGTTCTGGGGTTGGTAAGGGTTCTAATAGCCCCGCCGGCGCCCGCCTTTCCCCTTTGGCTCGCTGGCATTGCTCGCACCCTCTTACATACTCACGTACATCTTCCCTCACCTTAGGCCACCAAAATTCCCTGGTGACCAACCACATGGTTTTGTGTTGTCCAAAATGCCCCGCCGTAGGGCTGTCGTGCAACTGCTGGAGTACCCTCCCCCTGAACTCTCCTTCAGGGATATACAGTGCCCCTTTGTAATACAAAGCTCCATTTCTTTCCTCGAAACCCCCCTGGTTCCTCTCCCTCACCCCTAAGACCTCTGAGCTTATTCTGGGCGTATTCATCATTCTCTGTTTCCTCTACCAGTTCTCTTTGTCCCACCAATGCCGCCCCACACACCCAGCGGTCCTCTGGAATGACATGTCTCTCTTCGGTGCTCCCTCCCCTCCAAATATTCAGGTTTGCGTGAGAGAGCGTCCGCCCTAATGTTCTCTGGGCCTGGCACGTAACAAATCTCAAAGTTAAATTTGGAGAACTCCTGGGCCCATCTCACTTGCCGCTGGTTGAGCACTCGTGCCGTCCTCCAATACTCTAGGTTCTTGTGGTCAGTGCACACTTGCACCTTATGTTGTGCGCCAATTAGCAGGTGCCTCCATCTCCGGAACGCCTCATGAATGGCTAGTAGTTCTCGGTCATACACCGTGTAGTTCCTCTCGGATTTGTTCAGCTTTCGCGAAAAAAGGCACACGGTCTCCACTCTGACTCCTTCTTCCCTGGCTGCAGAAGCACCGCCCCAATCGCTCTGTCTGATGCGTCAGTTTCCACTCTCATCGGTTTTTGTAAATCCACATGCAGGAGTTGTTGTTCCGAGGCGAAGGCCCTTTTAGTTCCTCAAATGCTCGCTCCGCCTCCTCAGTCCAAACGAACTTCTTCTTACTGCTGAGACAGTCCGTAATGGGCGCCGTCAGGTGGGCAAAGTTTCGGATGAACTTACGATAGAAGTTCCCAAATCCTAGGAACCTCTGCACATCCTTCCTTGTTTTGGGTGTTTTCCATTCCAGCACCGCCTGGACCTTGCCGGGAT